GAGTCTCAAGGGGACTTTTATGCCCAGGCTGGCTTCAAACAGTGATCCTCAAATCTTAGCCTCCTGAGTACCTAGATTACATGCATGAGCCACCAGCACCCAGCGATTACTTCTCTTAATAGAAGGAGCCAGGTACCAGTGGCTTATGCCTGTTATCCTAGCTACTCTGGAGGCTGAGATCTAAGGATCAAGGTTTTAAGCCAACCTGTACCTGAAATTCAATGAGACACTTATCTCTAATTAACTTCCCAAAAGCCAGAAGTGAAGCTGTGGCTCAGGTGGTAGAGCACTAGCCTTGAGCACAAAGAGGCACAGGGACAGCCCCCAGGCCCTAAGTTCAAGCCCTAGGACTGGCAATAATAATAATGATAATGAGGAGGAGGAGGGGGAGAGAGACGGGGGAGGAAAAGGAAGAGAAGGAAGAACCAGATGTTGGTGGTTCACGCCTATAATCTTAGCTACTCAGGAATCTGAGATCTGAGGATTGTGGTTCAAAGCCATCTAGGCAAGAAAAGTTCTTGAGCAGGAAGTAGGAGTGTGACTCAAGAGGTAGAGAGCCAGCCTTGAACAACAAAAAAAAAATTAAGAGACAACACCTAAGCCCAGAGTGCAAGCAAGCCCCAGGACCAGCATCCAAATAATAGTAGTAGTGGTAATAATAATAATAATAATAATAGCAATAGATAGACATGCGGGTTTTATAAAGCATTCAAAGGTGAATTTTGAAAGGTTCTATCTCATTTGCATTTCATACAAACCACATCAGTTGCTGTAGCTGCTAGAAATGGGCAAAGAAGTGAACACACTATGGAAAGGCCACAAAGAACTATGGTAGTAAGCACTTCCATGTCCTGCTGCAGCTTCTGTTGAAGACACCTTGATGCTGCATAGGCAGACTAGGCCTTGTGACTAGAAAAGGCCTCACTGAAAGGATGCGATGCAGCTGGTTCTCATGGTACAGGAGTTGGTGTGGGAGTTGGTCCAGACTGTGGCTGCTCTGCTGCTTTAAGAAGTGACAGAGAAGACCTTGGCACCTTTCCAAGGGAAAGAGCATCTGCCCTTCCCTTTTCTTGGTGGTCCTAAAACAAATCCACTGCTAGAAAAATCAAATATTCATGAACTCAAGGCTTTAGGATATCAATACAAAGACTTTAAAAGAGGCTGCCAGATGGATAGTGCCTGCGGTAACAGCCCTGACAGGAATATAAAAGTGCTACACAGGCTGTAAAGAAGCCAGTTGCTGAAAACGTCACTACAGAGCAATCCTGCATACCCAAAAGCACTTTTAACAGCTCAGGTTTTATATTAGCAGAGCAAGTTCCATGTTTGTCCCTGGAAAGAAGGTCTGCAAAGTTAGTCACATCTATTCCCTGGTACTCGCTGGTCAGCCCTTCAGTTCTGAGGTCTTGCTGTGCCTTCTCTGTTCAGAAAACTCCCTCTCACATCTTAACACTGTTCAGTCTCCTCAGACAGGGCCCTTCACCTCCTCAGGGCTGTTTGCTCACTTCTGCTTCTTTGGCCATCCTTTTGATGTTGTTTGGGAAAGCAAATGTTTTAGGCAATACTAAGATTTCAACTCAGCCCCTCAGGCTTGCTAGGTTTCCAGCCCTCTTAGAGTCGTAACTTCCCATTCTGGCTGAGATAATAGACGTCACCCTTTCCAGCTTTCCTCTGGAGACAGTCTTGTGGACTTCTCTGTCCAGCCTGCCACTAAGATCCTTTGCATCTCAGCCTCCCACATAGCTTAGGATGATAAGCTTGTGATAATGTACCCACCTATGAGTTGAGAATTCTCAAGTTTCTCTGCCCAGGCTGGGCTTGAACCATGGTCCTCCAACTCTCAGCTTCCAATGCACAAGACACCAGGTATTAGTGGCTATCAAAACTATACCAAATACCTTTCTGTTATATTCAGCATGACTTAGTATATTAAAAAATCACTCTTCACAAGCCGGGTGTTGATGGCTTACTCCTGTAATCCTAGCTAATCAGGAGGCTGAGATCTGAGGATTGCGGTTCAAAGCCAGCTCAGGCAGGAAACTCCATGAGACTCTTATCTCTAATAAACCACTAGAAAACCGGAAGTGGCGCTATGGCTCAAGTGGTAGAACACTCATCTTGAGCTGAAGAGCGCAGGGACAGCGCCCAAGCCCAGAGTTCAAGCCCCATGACCGACCAAAAAAAAAATCTCTCTTCAGGATTAGTTTCCCTGCTCTAGGAAGAATCTGTATGATAGAGCAAGCAAGCAAGCAAGGAAAGAAGGAAGGAGAGAAAGGAGAGGGAGGGAAGGAGGGAGGGAGGGAAAGAAGTGAAAGAGGGAAGGAAAGACCTCTAGCAAATTCCTACCCAAATTAGATGTCTTTTGGGAATAGAGAATAGATTTGTTGGGGGAAAAACAAATTTTGTGAGATATTTTATAAATAGTTGGTTTATGCTTCTTTAAATAGAACTTTTTTTTTGGTATATTGATCTGTTGTGTCTTCTCAATTAAACGTACAAAAGGACAGGAACCAAAGCCAGAAGAAGTATGATCTGTGGTGGGGGTAACAACTTAGCTGACACTAGTGTTTGGCATTCCAGGTCTCTAACTTAGCCCAGCCTATGTTGAGAGTTCAATGCTAAAACAAGCTTTTAAAATAGGCTGTTGAGTACCCAATGGCTTCATTGCCACAATATGCCTTGGAACCTATTGAACTTGAGGGCTTTCACTACATAAGCCTGCTGGAACAGGTATAAACATTAACAGTGGAAACAGGGTTTTTTTTTTCTTTGCTGTTGGTTTTGTTTTCTTTTTATCTTGTTTGTTTACCTTTGGGAGGCTAAGGGGGGCACAAAAATGGAGAGACAAAGGGTGAACAGATGCAACAGTGGTACTTAACACTGTGTTGAAAATGAAATATACAAATTTGGGGTGGGTATGGGAGGGAAAAACAGAGAGAAAGGGAAGGGGTGACATTGTCCAAAAAGAAATGTGCTCTTTACCTGACTTGCATAACTGTAAACTGCTCCCCTCCCCCCCCATACATCACCTTTGTAATAACAAAAATTTTTAAGAATAACAAGCAAAAAAATAATATTAGCAATGTAGCTTGTTCGCCATAAGCCAGCTCCAGACCCTACGGGTTCCCTAGTGAGGGCCATACCTGTCACCAGAGGTCTCCTATGTGCTTAGGGTTTCGTACACTCAGTTCCTATGACAAATTCATAAGATGGGACTTAGGAGGCTCGTAGGGCAAGAAACTTTAACATTGCTGTTTTCAGCTGTTCCTTTGTATGTGCTTTCCTGACTTGGATGGTTAACTTCATGACTTATCACCTAGACTCATTCTCAGGCTTGTAGCAAGTTCAGTTTAAAGAAATGTACTCATTACCTTATTATGTAACTGCAACCCCTCTGTACACCACCTTGACAATAAAATTAAATTATAAGTAAATAGGCAGCCAGGAAGCACAAAGACAAGACTCCCCCTTGGAAAAGAATCAAGGGCATCCATCAAGAAGCCTCTCTGCAGTAACAACAATGGAAGTATATATATGGTGGTCCAGTAATATCTTAGAGGCTTGTAAGACACACCTTCACCCTTAACCTTTGGAGTTAACACTTCTCAAATGTGTGTTGCTAAGGTGGTTCATAGGCCTGGCAAAGCGGCTCATGCTGTAACCTAGCTATTAGGAAGGAGGAGATTGGGAGGATCGGGGACCAAGGCCATCCAGGCAAAAAACTTGAAAGACTCCCCATCTAAACCAATAAAAATGTGATGGTGCTGTGTGCCTGTCACCCCAGCTATGCTTGAAGCATAAAATAAAAGAGTTGCCGGCCAGGCCAGCCCCAGCCTAAAGGCAAGAACTTATTCAAACAACAGTTATGGCAAAAGGTGTTTGAGGATCATGGCTCAAGTAGTAGACCACCTGCATGGCAAACACCAAGTCCTGAATTCAAAACCCTGAAAAACCAATAAAAGAGGAAGTATTTTAATAAACGTTAAATAAGGTCTAAAGTATCTAATAAAGATATTTAAATAAGCAAAACTACTGGGTTTTTGAAAATTAATGCCTATGTAACTGGCTCTTAAAAATCAGTTATTAAGTGGAGCATCAGTGGCTCATGCCTGTAATCCTAGCTACTCAGGAGGCTGAGATCTGAGGATCACAGTTCAAAGCTGGCCTGGGCAGGAACATCTGTGAGACTCTTATCTCCAGTTAACCACCAGAAAACCTGAAGTGGTGCTATGGCTCAAGTGGTAGAGCACTAGCCTTGAGCAGAGCTTAGGGAAAGTACCCAGGGTTCAAGCCCCACGATGAACAACAACAACAACAAAAATCAGTTATTAAGGCCAGGTACCAGTCAGTCAATCACACCTATAATCCTAGTCACTCAGGAGGTTGAAGCTCAGCCTAGACAGAAAAATCTGAGACCATCTCTAGTTAGCCAGCAAAAAGCAGAGCTGGAGTTGTCTCAACTTGGTAAGCACCAGCTACAAACAAGCAAGTCAAGAGAACAGGAGAGTCAAGCAGCAGTTGCTCACACCTGTAATCCTATGCTGAGATCTGAGGATCACGGTTCAAGGCCAGCCTGGGCAGGAAAGTTCGTGAGATTCTTATCTCCAGTAAACCACCAGAAAACCAGAAATGGCACTGTGGCTTAAGTGGTAGAGCACTAGCCTTGAGCTGAAGAACTAAGGGACAGTGCTCAGGCCCAGAGTTCAAGCCCCACGACCAACCACAAAGAAAAGAGAGAACAGGAAAACCTGAGTTCAAACCCCAATGGTAGTGTGCGCCCACGTGTGTGCACGCACGCACGCACGCGCGCGCACACACACACACACAGTTACCAGATGGAGATTGGAGGGAATGGGAGAGAATGAGGAATGAGGAAACACATGACACTGTACTTAATACCTGACAGATGTAAATGTAACCACACTGTATAGCACCTCTAAAATAACAATATAGTAAAAATAAATCAGTTACCATATGGTAAGGTAAAATTCTTCTGGCAGAAAGCCATCAGTAAGTGGTCAGTTATAACTCAGAAGCATGGTGTGAAATATATACTCTGATGTGTGCAGCTAAGTCTTCTATATAAAAAGCATGCTCTTAGAAGATAATGTGATTAGTCAGTCTCATAATTTTTCTTCTTTCTTCCAAGGTATCTGAGCGTTTGAGTCAACCAGGAGTGGCAATAGGTTTAGCTTGGACTCCATTAGGCGGGAAAATCATGTTCGTAGAGGCAAGTCGAATGGATGGAGAAGGCCAGTTGACACTGACTGGCCAGCTAGGTGATGTCATGAAGGAGTCTGCTCACCTTGCTATTAGCTGGCTTCGCAGCAATGCAAAGAAATACCACCTGACCAACGGTATGTGGACTGGCCATGCTGGGGCTCAGCTAGAATGGAAAACCTCCCAAGTCCTGACCCAAAAATTTCTCACAATCGGTAACGGAGATTAAGCTGAATTTTAAATGATCAGTGACACCAATCAGTGAAGAGCTTTTGAACTCGATTTAGTGCTAAGCTAGAAACATTCAAAAGGTTTATTTTGTTTTGAATCCTACCTAGAATAGAATGAGTTGATTCTTCCAGAGCCTCATTCTAATCATACTGTTAATATTCTCTAGCATTCTCTAGCATTCATTTACACAAAATAATAATTTTTGTCTCTGACTTATTAGCAGAAAAAGAAAGCAGATTTAATTTTTCTACATTAAAATCCTTTTTTCCTTTTTTAAAGCCTTTGGAAGTTTTGATCTTCTTGACAACACAGACATCCATCTGCACTTCCCAGCTGGAGCTGTCACAAAAGATGGACCATCTGCTGGTGTTACCATAGTAACCTGTCTCGCCTCACTTTTTAGTGGGCGGCTGGTACGTTCAGATGTAGCCATGACTGGAGAAATTACTCTGAGAGGCCTTGTTCTTCCAGTAAGTATGGGGAAAAAAACCTGTGGTATTAAATTTTTTTAATTAAATTAGAAGTATTTTTTAATTTAAATTAATAGTGGTCTGCCTTCTGTGAAAACTTTGGCTGCTTTAAACATCCATTAAGTATTTATACCTGTAATGAATTCATACTTTAAACTTTTGGACAAATAAAAGAAAACCTAACAATTTTTCCTCATGTTTTCTCACCTAAAAAGACTTCCTCAAGGGAAAAAAAATTAGTGTTGTCATCAAAAACATAAGTCCACATAGACATATGCAGTCTGTTCTAATTAGTGATCCTCAAATATATTGTGTGTATACATAAGATAGCTGTTTCAGTTCTTACCTTTTCAAGATCCTTTAAGACTAATCTTGCAGAAATCTCAGATTGCTATAGTTTATATAAAACAGAATAGTATAGAATAGAAACTGAGGAGATTGAGGCAGAAGGATCACAAGTTTGATGCTAGTCTGGACAATTTAGTGAGACTATCTCAAAATAAAAGTTAAAAAGAAAAAAAGGCTAAAGAGGTAAGCTGGTGATAAAGCACAGAAGGAAGAAAACTACTAAAAATACGGACCTTTCTTTTCCCCCTTCTGTTTCTCTCTCTCTCTCTTTTTTAATAGCAGTGCTGGGACTTTCCTGTAATCAGAAAGTCATATCTTAAACTCCATTTATTATGCTGTATTTGTAGGTCTGAATTCAGAAAGAATGGCTCATCTTTTTACACAGAAACTTCTATATTTCAAGTAATAGCAGTTCATACTACCTGTGTACTGAAGTAAATGAGTGGTGCTTCATTTATAATAACTTACTTCAGTGTCTGGTTTTAATAATAGAATAAGCAGGAAATAAAAGGAAATAATAAAGTCTAGTTCTCAAAAACAAGTGAGGCCAATCAGCTAGTTCTGATGAATCAGAACCATGGGTAAGAGGCAGCCTTCCTGACAGATAACCAGGATAAGGTCTGGCTCAGAACCAGAGGGACAGAGCAAGAGAACATGAATGGAATTCACTGAAAATCTCTGTGGAACAATCCTCAGACTTGGTCCCCTAATGCCCAGAGCAGACAACAGCCCAGGCAAAGGACTGCCCATCTCTGGCAGCTTTGGTCCTGTAGTTTCAAAGTAACAAAGCCATGAAGGAAAGCAGATCTGCTAAGGTTAAGGAAAACAGTTCAAAAGCAGAGAATTAGACAAACCTTTTGGATTTTTAAGTGTAGTTCCAGAATTATTCAGAAAAAGACTGCAGTCAGTTAAAAAATAGTATGACAGATCCAGGGGTTATAGCAAGCAGAAAAATAGAATAAATTGTCAAATAATGAAACATTTCCTAGAAGTGAAGGTGTTGTTAGGTTGAAAGGACCGGTCTAACCGAGGGAAGATTTCAGCCTCTTGGCTTTTCAGATCACTGAGGACATGTGACTTAGTGTGTAGCACCTCAGACTTTTAAAATCCAGTATTGTGAACCCAGTTTACTATAAATAAATGTGAAAATAAAGACATTTGCTTATATGTATATAATAAGGAATCAGTCTATCTCATGTTCTTTCTGAAGGCATTTGAGATGTACTTCATCCTTCAAAACAGGATAATAGTGAGATCAGATGGCAGCTATAGGGAAAGCAAAAGAGCTCCTTGTCTTGATTGGAACAGCTGGCTGGAGGGTTGTCTCCAAGGATTACATGGTCTAGATGGTATTGATTATTCTTCACGAGAGCCATATGTCTTGTTCTTAAAGTTTCTATGGCTCAGGAATTTAGGGATAGCTCTTCTGGCTCAAGGTCTCTTATCTTACAGTCAAGCTACCAGCCAGGTCATAGGCATCTGAAGGTTGGCTGAGGCTGGAGGATCTGTATCCAAAGCGGTTCATGCACAGTAACTGGCAAATCAGTCCTGGTTGTGGGCAGGAGGCCCCAGGTCTCTAACTTCAAACATGAACCCCCTAGTTCCAGGCCAACTGATCTGAGAAAGATCAGTCCAGGTAGGAGCTCTTTTAACAGCCGGGCACTGGTGATCCACGCCTGTAATCCTAGCTACTCAGGAGGCTGAGATCTGAGGATTGAGGTTCTAAACCATCCCAGGCAAGAACATGAGACTCCTATCTCCAATAAACCACCAGAAAACCAAAAGTGGTGCTGCGGCTCAAGAGGTAGAATACTCGCCTTGAGCTGAAGAGGTCAGGGACAGTGCCCAAGCCCAGAGTTCAAGTCCCACAACTGACCCCCCCCCAAAAAAAGTAAGTCATACAACATCACTCCAACACAACTCCACCCCCCTCACACACCCATGGTACAGGGTTTTTTTGTTTTGTTTTTGGGTCCGGTCGTGGGGCCTGAACTCTGGGCCTGGGCGCTGTCCTCAGCTCTTCAGCTCAAGGCTAGCACTCTACTATTTGAGCCACAGCACCACTTCCAGCTTTTTTTTCTTTTTGCTTATGTGGTGCTGAGGAATCGAACCCAGGGCCTCAGGCATGCAAGGCAAATGCTCTACCACTGAGCCACCTTCCCAGCCCCATGGTACAGGGTTTTGAACTCAGGACTTGGACCTTGTTAGACTGGCACTCCACTAGTTAAGCCAAATCTCCAATAGGTTTTTGCTGGTTACTGTCAATATAGGGTCTCATGTCCTGCCACGGCAAGTTCCTGACCCTCGGTCCTAGTACTTTGTTTCTGTCATCATTGCTAGGAAGACAGGCGTTTACTACTGTCAGCATCCCTCCATAGAGATGAAGTCTGAGGACTTCTTTCCTCCTTGGAAATGGAGACTTATTGGCCTGGACTAGCCTGTCCTAGAAGTGTGATCCTCTCAATCTCAGCTTCTTACATAACACTCTATTTCTTACAATTGAGTCCCAAAGACTGGCCCATATTCAAAGGGTAGGAACAGCAGACACTAGAGCCTATTTTTTTGTGAAGGAATCATTGTGGTTATATTTTAAACACCCAAGGGAACCTATAGTATTCTTTGGTTTTTAGCACTGGATGCACAAAGGTCCTGGCTTTATGCTTATGAAAATGGAAATAACGAACAAAACTAAGCACTGTAGAAAACTTTCAAAATGCTTTCTTCTTGTTAGCAACAGTATTTATAATCAAAACTTTCTCAGAATCAGCCTAAAAACAAGACTGCTGTGATTGTAATGGAATTTTAATCTCTACAGTTTAGAAAAGGATAGAGGTCTAGGCACTGGTAGCACATGCTTGTAATCCTAGCTACTCAGGAAGCTGAGATCTGAGGATCACAGTTCAAAGCTAGCCTAGACAGTAAAGTCCTTAAGATCCTAAGTCCAATTAACCAGCAAAAAAGCCAGAAGTAGAATGGTGGCTAAAGTGGTAGAGCACTAGACTTGAGTACAAAAGCTCAAGGATAGCCCCCAAGGCCCTAAGTTAAATCTCAAGACCAGCACAAAAAAAAAAGGAAGAATGGAGGTATGTGTATATAAAAAAGTCATTTTAATACCATTAAAAGGGGGAAAAATGCTACTATGTACTGAACCATCCTGTGACCTTCTTTGTTCATACTGTAACATATAACGGAAGGAGGCTTAGATGTCTTAATTCAGTGAAAGCAGGGAGGGCTAGGCAAGATGACCACAAACTGAAAACTATCTTTCTCCTCACAGGTAGGTGGAATTAAAGATAAAGTGCTGGCCGCCCACCGAGCAGGACTGAAGCAAATCATCATTCCTCAAAGGAACGAAAAAGACCTTGAAGAAATCCCAAGCAATGTGAAGCAGGATTTAAGTTTTGTCACAGCAAGCTGCCTAGATGACGTTCTTAATGCCGCCTTTGATGGTGGCTTTACTGTCAAGACCAGACCTGGTCTCATCAATAGCAAACTGTAAACCTAAATCTCAAGCTGTTAGAATTTTAAGCTATGAAGTGCTAAAAGATACTGACAAGGTTTGTCTTATTCATAACAGAAGTAAGGAAAATGTCCCTAACTTGTGAACACAATCACAATAACATTGAATCTCACTCAAGTAGTAGCTAGTGCTTATTTCGATAATTAAGACATCAATTTAATAAACTGACAAAAGTAGAATTCTTGTTTTCAGTGTGGTCATCAGAATCCCTGGAAAGGCAAAGAAAAGAGGTTCTGTGTAGTCCAGGCAGAAACATCTATATCAACTTAGAAATGCAGCATAAATAGAAATCCTCAGGCCCTCTGCAGACCTCAAATTCTGGGCCATGGAACCGAAATCTGGTTTGGGGAGGGTTTTCTTTGCCCTTTGCTTTATTGCTCTTAAGAGTGTCTTGGTTTGTATCCCAGATGGCCTCAAACCCAAGTGTCATGTGTTAGTCTTCAAGCACTGAGATTATAGATGTATACCACCATGCCCTCCAGGTAATTCTGATGCACCATCAAGTTCAAGAACCACTGGTAAGAGTGGATTGCAGGATGCAGATTTAAAGGATCAATCTGAACCAGTTTTGCAAAACTGAGACCTTATCTGAAAAAATAAAGCAAAAGAGCCTAGGGATGTGGCTCTAGTAGGGTACCTGCTTAGCAAGCACGAGGTTGAGTTCAGATCCCCATTCTGCCTTGAACAATGGTATAGACCATTAGCGTAGGTAATTCACCTGTAACTCTGTTTTGGGAAGTGGGGGTGCCAGTTTCAAGGCTAGTGCTCTACACTTGAACCACAGTTCCATTTCCAGGTTTTTTTAGTAGCCAATTGTAGGTAAGAATCTCACAAGCTTTCCTGCCTAGGCTGGCTTCACACCATGATCCTCAAGTCTCAGCTTCCTGAGTAGCTAGGATTAAACACACAAGCCACTGGCACCAGGCCACCTAAGCTTTTATTGGATCTTGAAACTACTCACCTAGAAGAGGAACCAATAAGCAACCAATATATCCAAATATGAGCAACTATTTGTCCTTGTGGGACTTAAAGTTAATTTAGTCCTATAATGAGGTCTACATATCCTAATACTAGGTCCCTTCTCATAGCAAGGGAAGTAGTACTCTGAGTACGTTTTAGATAGTGTGGCAAGTGCCAGCAGACATCACAGAAACACACTGGAAAGCCGGGCGCTGGTGGCTCACGCCTGTAATCCTAGCTACTCAGGAGGCTGAGATCTGAGGATCGCGGTTCAAAGCCAGCCCGGGCAAGAGAGACTGTGAGACTCCTATCTCCAATAAACCACCAGAAAACCGGAAGTGGCGCTGTAGCTCAAGTGGTAGAGTGCTCGCCTTGAGCTGAAGAGCTGTGGGATAGCGCCCAAGCCCAGAGTTCAAGCCCCACGACCGACCAAAAAAAAAAAAGAAAAGAAAACCTTTAAAAAAAAAAAAAAAGAAACACACTGGACCTGGGTTCCTATAATCTCAGAAAAGCCTAAGCCCAACCTACAGGAAGTAGCTATCCATCTCAGAATGGTTCCTGAGCTTGGAATCTGACTCCTGCTAGTCTCCTGCTGGTTTGTTTGGGGAAATTTCCAAGTATCAGCTTCCATGCCTACCTGTTCCTGTGATTCAGTCAGCCTAACTATGGAGGCAGACTCTTCTACTTACCAGCTATGTAAATGTTTTATCTTAGTTTTCCTCACCTGTGCAATGTAAATCTTAGTGTCACTGTGAAGATTAAATTAGAATATTATGTTTAGAAACATGATACACAAAAGATATGTAGATAGTCTGGAATGCGCTGGTTGAGATCTAAAAGTTACCCAAAATACCAGACTCAGCCTACAGTTATGAAAGTTCTGACCTAGAATGTCATGGCACTGTGAGGAAGGAAAAACACAATACTGTCTTATCAGCTGTTTTAACTTTATCCTATCAGTAATCTCACACTGGGGAGAAGAAAAACGATCAGACGGTCACTTACTCCAGCACCAGAGGGAATGAGTCCCCACTGGCATCGGCACCAATCTGCCTTGTGCAAGAAAACAGTGTAGCCTCTTTGCTCCAGCATTGCTTTTGCTTTCTGGGGTGGGGTGGAGGTCAGGGGGGGATTAAGTGCCTGCTTTTTCACCTCTTTAATTGGGCCAAATGCACATAAAAGTTATTTTATCCATTTTAAATGTCTTAATTGTAAAAATTGGGCATCAGTGCTGCCATTGCTCACTCATTTTTTTAAAATCTCACTCCACATGTTATAATATCCTTTTGTGTCTCACCTATAACTAGGTGCCAACTTCTTTTATGGCTGAATATCCCATTGTATATGTATGCCATATTTTGTTTATCCATTCGTTTGGTGGTTTTGTAACCACTGCGATGAATACAGATGTGCAAGTAAGTCACTCCTTTTCAATGTATACACCAAAGTAGAATTGCTAGAGTTAACACGTGTTAACTTAAATGCCACCAAAATTCATGTACTGAACTTAAGTCACCAAAGTGATACTAAGAGGGTTAGTTTTGAGATCTCTGCCTTAGCTAATGAACTAGGTCTCCTTTTAAAGAATCTTCAGGTGACTGGCTAGCTTTTTTGCCCTGCTGTTCCTTCTACCAGTAAACAGCAACAAGGTACCCAACAACTCAACCTACCAGAGCCATAATCTTGGCTCCCCAACTTCCAAATCTGAGAAATGTGTTTTATAAACTATTCATGCTTAGTTACAGCAGCCCAATTACTAAGACAAAATAATTCTTTTTGAGCAAACTTGGTCATGTGTGACTTGAGAATGGAGTCCCTGACCTTGTACACTTGGCTAACCCCATCTGCAACCAAACTCTTCCATCATGGTGTACTTCTTGGCATTCCTGCCAGAAATGCTATTTTCTCATTTTTCTGTGTCCTTACCACACCTAATGGATATGACAGCATTTTCTTTCACTCTTCTCTAAGGACTAGTGATATTTGACATGTTTTTCTAGTACTTAAATATTACCCTAAAATCGTAACTTGACTTCTACTGAAAATGCTGATTAAATTCTAAATCTACAGGCCTAGGGAGTAAGGCCTTGCAATCTATACTTAACCTGTACTCACATGCTTTTAAATGCATTTTTCAATAAACATTTAAGTGCCTTCATTACCAGTCTTATTCAGTCTTAATTTAGGTATACTCATGTTTACCCATTTCTTGGTCCTTCTGATGAACCTTACCATGAACCAGGCAAGCATGAGAGGCTGGAATCCTCAGCCACTTGATGTGTATGTAAATTCATCGGTAACTGCCATCTGTTTAAGTAACTTCCTAAAATATTTAGCATCGGTTGGTAAATCTGTGACCAGGGTAAGGTTATCTGATTGTGAAGGATGTTACAATTTTCTGTAAACAAAATCAGTGGCCAGACAGTGTATGTGTTAAAACTCAAAATTTTCTTCCTGACAGCAATTCGGAACTACGAGTGTAATTCAATGGTATAGTGCCTGCTTATTAGTATGTGTAATCCTTAACACTCAAAAAGAAAAAAAAAGCAATCTGGCCATACCACAGATCCTCTTCCCCAGTAGACATTTCTGGTGCCATCTCCAACTGATGGGTAGTGGCAGCATGATACAGAGAATTCTGACTCCTGTCTGGACACGGTGATTAATGATGTCCACCATTAGCTTCCACTACCAGGTGACTGGTCTTAAGTGAAATCACTCTCCCTTGCTGTGACAAGTTAACTTAGGAAAACAGGATTCATTTTGGCTGTGGTTTCAGATGGCCAGCCACATAGCTGTAGGCTGTTGTTGAGACAGGACCTTCCGTGGAGTGAGGATGGCTGAGCAAAGCTACTCACCTCATAGTAGCCGGAAGCATAGAAAATAATCTAAGAGGAAGTGTCTGAGACAAGATGGTATACCTCCCCCACCCTACCCCGAAGCCATTCAACTATAAAGTCATCTCATCAATGGATTAACCCATTGGTGCAGTTAGAACCCTTATGACCCATTTACCTCAGTAGTGCCACCAGCTGGGGAACTAAGCATTCAACAGGAACCTTTTGGGAGAACTCCTCTTATCTAAGTCATAACATCCACATGATGCCCTCACCAAAATCAACCTCACAACCCACACTAAAATGTGGTCTTACTATTAAGGCTCAACACTGAACCACACAAAAATGGTCATTTTGCCAATTAGCATTTCTAAAATGAGTGGTTCTGTTCCAGTAACAGGTCAAGTTCACATTACTTTGGCCCAAATGAGTAGCTGTACTTGAGCCCCTCTCTCTCCCTGATCTGACCCATTCATAGTCCAATATCAACTTTGTTTTGCTAACATTAATGGACCGTACAATAAAAACTATGCCCTTTAGTACAAGAAACAAGCACCAAAACAGAAAGACAATCAGGCCAACCCCAAGAATGGCCACTGAGCTCTTTTAAAACAATTGAATCAAAAGGATTTTAATTCAGAGAAAAAGATCATTATTTTCAATAAAATTATTCATAACAGTCTGTACTTACTAATGAACTAAATATTTAATGTGTTAAAATTTTATGTTCAACTCAACATTGTCAGTACATAGGAGAAATAGGAACAAAGTCTTTAGGCTAAATCCTTATCTGTCCATAACAGTGCAAGCCTGTTAAGGTTTAACATTATCAAGTATCTTTCATACCATTTGTTTATTGCTTTACAAGCCTTTTTATACTCTTCAGAATTTAGATGAACTAAGAAAATAACACCTATTAAATGGTACTAAAGAAATTGCTTAAAGTTGTGTTAAAGAGAAAATGTCTGGGTTGGCAAGACAATGGGAATCTAAACAATAACTACAAATACTTCACAGTCCATTTAACCTTCCTCACACCCTACCACCACAGAACAATAGACCCTTTTACAGAGGAGGAGCCCAGCAGAGGAAGGCTGTTCACAAGTTAGTGGATGCAGAATTCAAGCCAGGCAGTTGAAATCTACAGGGCAGAGTTAGCAGGTAATATAAAACCCAATTTAAGCAAGTGTTTTGCTATGTATGTAGCTCAGATAGGACTCAAACTTGCTATGTAGCCTTGCCCTTACTTTTGCCTCAACCACTTCTTATAGAACCCATAATGCCAGTATTAGTTGGTATTTTAGACACTATTCACCCAATTAAGGCAGCAGTCACACTAAGCTCAAGCATGTTAACTCTGATAATTTTTATTTGGATTACTTAGTGACTCTTCCACTCAAGAATCTGAATAAATAAAAAATAAAATTTTAAAAAAGTATTGAATGAAAAATATTCTACCATTTAAAATTAATATTGGAGATGTTCTTGAATATAAAGAGAGCTCTTTGCTATTACAGGATGCTTACATAGATGTGGGCTTTAAGGAAAAGTCATACATATACAATAGAAATCAAAGCAAAAGGAAAAAAGTTTCCTCCAGTGACCATTAACATACTAAATTGGCCAATGACTCAATTCAGTATGACTGATTCAAGTTTGAAAATAAAAAAGTAGGACAGGAATATAGCTCAGTGGCAGAGCTATTACCTACCATGTGTTAGGAGAGCCTAGCAATGCATATAAACATTAGTAGTAAAAAACAAAAGAAGAGTTGCCATCTACACCTACCTCAAAATCTGAAAACAAAAGAAGGGGCAAGGACATTAACAGAAATTATTATTATTGTTCAAACACAGCACAAGAAATTGGCTAATGCTACCAAAGTTACATAAATTATGTTTTCCCAAGTATTTTTTCTCTGAGACAGATCTGTGCACCTCTTCCTCCTCAGCTTCCCCAGCACCACAATTACGGAAACATGCCACCACTCCTGCCCTTCCAGAGATTACAGTAAATGCTGTGTAGTTGTTTACATAATATACAGTCTTAGTATTTTTAATTAGCATATATAAGTACTTGTACATGCACTTAAAAAACTAGAAAAATAAGTTAAGCCATCTCTGAACTCATGTTAAGATTACAGGTTGCTATTGGGTGTGTCATTCTGAGATTTCAAAGCCTATGCAATATGAGTTGTTGTTTTGGGGGGATTTTTTTTTTTTTTTTTGGTGCCAGTCGTGGAGCTTGAACTCAGGGCCCAGGCACTGCCCCTGAGCTTCTTTTGCTCAAGGCTAAAATTTTACCACAACTCCGCTTCTGGCTTTTTAAAGAGTCTCAGACTATCCTGCCTACGCTACCATCAAACTGCCAATACTCAGGTCTTACCATCCTGAGTAGCTAGCTGGATTACAGGTGTGAACCACCGGCACTGCTGTGTACATATTTTTAATCAAAAACATTAAAATATTAAGACCACAAAAACATAACTTTCGTAAACATATTCAGCACACATTTAAACAGATTAAACCTGGATAGAAATTTATGGCTGAAATATTTTTTTCACTCCAAAAATAGCTATGTAAACAGATTATAACCCATTTAAAACATAATGCTGCCAGGAGCCAGTGGCTCATGCTAGGAAGTTGAGACATAAGGATCACAGTTCAAAGCCAGCCTAGACAGAAAAAGCCATGAGGCTCTTATCTCCAATTAACTTCCTACCAAAAGAATCAGAAGCAAATGTACGATGACTCAAGTGGCAGAGCACTAGCCTTAAATGAAAAAGCTACGGAACAATTACCCAGGCCCTCTGAGTTCAAATCCTAGTACTGGCAAACATACATACATACAAAATATATTGCTGATATAGAGGAGAGACTAAGCAATCTTCTTTCCTTCAAACAACTACCAAAAGTATACTTCTTAATCCAGACTTGTAGAATTTTTTTTTTAAGTCCAGGTTAATTTTTGATTTGCTATGCTTAGGATATCCAATAAATTAAATTAAAAGGTTAAAGAATTAGTATCACACAAAATTATCTCTGGCCATTCAGGCTCAACAATTTCAAATCTTTACCTTCTGCCTAAGGATAATTAGCAAGTTAACTATAGATAGAAGCATAATAGCAACGAACATTTGTTGAACACTTATCAGGTAAAAACTTCAGGTGCAAACTTGTACCACACTTAACCCTTCAAGATAGCTACCATAATTTGCTCTATATAGCCAAGTCACAAAGCTAGTAAGTGGAGTAGAGACTAGATAGATTGGCATCCTGGAAGTCTGGCTGCAAAGTCATGACTCTTAACCACTAGGCTAAATTAACTTGCCTTTATTGTTTTGAGGGGAAAGTGATCAACATTTTAATTAGTCTTCTAATTTCCTGGTTAGAATCAAAATGAAGGGCAATGAAAGGGACTCCATAGGGCATATACTCAATCTTGCTGTGTTTCAGAATAAAACCACCACACTTCAAAATGACACACACTACTGCTTTCTGCTACATAAAATACAGAATGGTTTGGATTTCATCAAATTTAGAGCTAAAGCAGACACATTAAGATTTTTTAATTTGCAGATAATCTTTTAATGAGTTATAAAAGACCAAAAACATTTTTTGCAAACTTCCTTTTTCAACAAATGATTTGCCTTAAATTACAAATACTGTATGATGATGCCTTCTTTTGTAAAACCAATAAATACAAGAACAATTTTTAAACATGTGATTTGCCCAAGACATTTGGGGGAGGAAAAAGCCTGATTTTTTTTTCAGTACTTATATAAATCAGAATGTGTTTCTTAACTTTTCAAAGAAAAGCCTGCAAGCAGAACTCAACAGAAGAGATAATAAGAAGGAGAATGAAAGACCACCTTGTAGCTGTTCCACAGAGCTGAAACTGTTCTAATGTTACCTTCCCTTTCTGGAACTTGTATCTTCAGAATATTTCTAATGAACTGATTAGTCAGGGAAAAGAAAATGTACTGAACATAAACTCTTACATAAACAATTATGCATATCAAAAAAATTAACTTTAAAAAGGTACAAAAAAATTGAGAAAAAACCTGAATTACAGAAGTCAAATTTATTTAATGAAAAACTAGAATAAAAACTAGCAAATATACATACACACCAAAACAAAACAAAAACACAGCAGCACTATGTATTGACTCACAAAAGGGGGTAGCAGTGGTCTGAGACCACTCAGATGGCTTGTCAGTTAAAGGAAACACACTCACACACTCACTCTCACACACACACACACACACACACACACTCGCGCAAAAAAATTTTTTTCAACAATATAACCAATCTACAACGAACACAAAATCCAGAATTATTTTACAATGCTTCCTTTCTTAATACAAAAGATGCCCATCTTGGGTGTATATATATTTTTTTCAGTGGTTTACTGTTGACTTATTTTTAAATATATTAGTGTTACTACATGCAACTGTTTCCTGTATTTAACAGCCTTTCTTCTTATTTACCTTCATGTGTAGACCTTCCATCTACCAAGAGTTTCAGGTTAGCAGGCAGATGGGTGCCTTATTCTCTGTGAAATTAAACACTGGCCAGAAAATGATTGCCATTTCAACACATGGAAATAGTTACATTGATGCCTAAATTGCCATTTTCTGCAAAAAGCTGTGCAATGCTGGTGTCAAAGACTAGGCAGTCGCTATTCATAATGGCTGTTGCAATTCCCTCATGAATAGACCGAGGAGTCGCTTCCCAAGTCAATCGCCGCCTATGACCATTTAGCTCAAGTCGATAAGCAAAATTTTCAGCTTGCTTGCGTGTTCCTATCAGCTGTACAATTGCAAAGAACTGCTGGTGACCATCGTATTTTTCCTGTTTCTCCAAGACTAACATGAAGTGAAAGCCAAAACAGGACTGCATCATCACCCAGTCAACAGCACCAGGAAGGTTAATGTCTGTAGCAAGGAAAACTATATCCTCTCCTTGTAGGGTTGTAATGGACTTGTGTTGATGCATCAGATGTGGCATCACAGCATCCAAAGAGCCTTGCCATTTACAGGAAGCACCAGGGCACGGGCAGGAATAAGGCCTAAACTCACAGAGCTCCTCATGGTCGGCTTTCTCTGTGTGTGGCAGAGTTATTTCACATCCAGAAGAGGCATATTTACAAGGGAAAAGTACTGAATTGGCCACTTTCTCCATAGCCAAGTTGCGAATGGATCCCAATGGGCCCCGACAAGTTGGACAACATGTGAGTTTGGGGCGACAGTTGCTACAAACAAGATGGCCACTCTGACACTGCAGAATGGGTGGTAACACATAGTCAAAGCAGACGGGACACTCAAAAAGACTCGCCAAGTCATTGTTGGATGCAGTTGTGCCAGTCAGGGCAGGCACCCTCTGGGATGGTGGACACTTGGAGGTACCAGTAGGTAGTGCTGTAGCAGTCTGACGGCTCATTTCTGTAATAAAAAATAAATGAGTAAATAAAAGAGAAAAATAATTGTAACTTCTTTTTATAAATGTTTACATGCCTAAAATACCTTTAAATGTTCATACAAAATTGGGAACAAAATAAGAATAGGCAAGTAAAAAGGATATACAAAGCATATACAAACAAAACAGATACACTAACTCTGCATTTTATTATTAGGAGCTGAATACTGGATAAGCCTTTTCATGTTCCAGAGCAGTTAAAATCACACCAATGGAACAAGCAAGCTGACCAAGGGCTAGGTTCAAACCCCAGTTCAAGAGTGGGAGGAAAGATAAGAGGAGGGAGGGAGGTTGATGGGGTACATTGTATGCATATATGGAAATACCACAGCGAAACATTCCTTTGTACAACTAGGTTGTGCTAATAAAAATCTTCTAATTTTCCTTATTAAAAAGTACTAAGAGGGCATGGGAAGGTGGCTCAGTGGTAAAGTGCTTGCCTTGCATGCATGAGGCCCTGGGTTTGATTCCTCAGCACCACATAAGCAGAAAAAAAAGCCGGAAGTGGCGCTGTGGCTCAAGTGGTAGAGCACTATCCTTGAGCTGAAGAGCCCAGAGTTCAGGCCCACAATCGGATCCAAAAAAAAAAAAAAAAAAGTACTAAGAATCTAGATTAAGAAAGCTAAAGTAGAAATTACCATAAAAAACTAAGAAGATTGAAAAAGGATCTTAAGTACAACAAATTTTAACTGTATTTTGTCCCATTCTCTTCTCCAAAAGGCCTTAATCATTTTTCCAATTCAGAGTCAGCTATCTGTAGCTCAAGAGTCATAAATTCTACACAGCTGGTATGCCAAAGATCGTCAGCATACTGACTTGATAACTACTAGTTTTAGGAATGATGTGCAAGGTCAAGGGTATGCTGCCACCCCATAATCCATCTTCATCTGGTGAGTCTCCCCCAAAGCATATTAAGTATTTATTTTTCCTACTAATTAGGAAACTAATTAGGAAACATCTCAAAACTGAAGGGAGATAAGGAAAAGAACATTTTTAAATAATAGTTGGCTAGTTCAATATTCAGAAGCAGGACCTCATTCTACAATATAAATCAGTACAGAGTCCGAAAAGAGTAAAAATAAAAAATAAAAAAAAATAGAAGAAAGCAATCAGGAAGATAAACACTATTCAGATACACATAACACTGTACTAAAATGAGGAATACAATTAAGAGGGATTCATGGCACCTGAAACATGTGAAGCAGATTAAGCATTAGGTAAAAATATTACTAGAAGAAACCGATCAATCAACTAACTAGCGAGGCTGAACCAAACAAAACAAGCACCTATTCCCTATAAGATATGATAGGTGATAACCTTGTCCTGGCAGTGATAAAAGATTAAACAGGTTATGATACCCCTAAAAGTGCACTCCCAGTACTTACACAATGCCATCTTTCACCAAAATTAAAACGTCAAATTTAACATTTTCTCTCAGTTATTCATTACTGTTTCAAATAACTTAAAAAGTGATGGTAAGATGTATACTGAAAATGTGGCATATACACATTACCAAGTATTATTCAACCATGAGACTGAAATTGTTATTTGTAGGAAAGTGGACAGAACTAAAAATATGTCATGTTAAGCAAAGCAAAACTGACTCAAATAAATACTCAATGTGGCGTTTTTTTATTTGTGGAAATTGTGCCTTAAAAATAGTAATTTAGGGCTGGGAAGGTGGCTCAGTGGCAGAGCGCTTGTCTTGCATACTTGAGGCCCTGGGTTTGATTCCTCAGCACCACATAAGCAGAAAAAAAAAAAAAGGCCAGAAGTGGTGCTGTGGCTCAAATGGTAGAGTGCTAGCCTTGAACTAAAGAGCTAAGGGACAGCGCCCAGGCCCAGAGTTCAAGCCCCACGACCGGACCCCCCCCCAAAAAAATAGTGATTTAAAAAAAAACCAGAAATGAACACTGAGGACTACTGGAGCAGGGGACTAGTAAGAGGAAGGGAGGGGGAAAGAAAGGATGAGGGGAGGAGAAGACAATATGATCAAAGTATACTGCCTTTAAGTATATATGAAAAAAAAAACAAAACATGAAACCCATTTTAAAGATTACAAGAAAGATATAAATGGGGATACAGTGGAAGGATAAGGGTAATGGAAGAGCCAAGGCCAGTGTCTCACATCTGTAATCCTAGCCACTCAGGAAGTTGTTATCTGAGGATCTTGGTTCAAAGCCAACCTGGGCAGGAAAGCTACTGAGTTCTGATCTCCAATTAACTACCAAAAAGCTAGAATAGCTCAAATGGTAGAGCCCCAGCCAGATCTGGAGTTCAAGCCCTAGGATGAGTGGGGGGAGGAGGAGAGTAATGGTGAGAAGTAAATATGAAGTATATGTGTATGTGCTGGTTATGAATGTGGCCAGGGATTCAAGTTGTTACCAATGATACTGTAAATGAGGAAAGTGGCTAAAGATGGCCCCTCAAAAAAAAAATAATAATAATTGCTTAGTTTTAAAGTTCAACAGGCAACAAGTGTTAAAAGAACAGGATTACTGGCAAACAACTGTAATTCCAGCATGCAGGAATCTGAGGCAGGGGTAAGTGGCCAACCTGGCATACACCATAAGACTCCATCTCCAAAGAGTGTCAGAAGTATTTAGCATACAGCAGTTCTCACAGACATAAACACACACACACACACAGCATAACAAAATATGAACTCTCACCTAGAGCCTTGTATAATCCAGGAAAACTGACAAAAGAATTCTGTGTAAAGGAGTTCTCCTGAAATCCACCATCTCTGAGTAAATACTTTATACATATATTGATCTATTTTATGTCACTCATAAAACAGTGAACTTAGCATTGCAAACACCCTGCCTGTGTGCCTGTGATCCATTCCATGCTGTTCACCTAAGTAAACAGAAAGTGGTTCCTTGAAGCTGGGTGCTGGTGGCTCATGTCTATAATCCTAGCTATTCAGGAGGCTTAGATCTGAGAACTGGGGTTCAAACACTGCCATGATAGAATCCAAGAGGCTCTTATCTCCAATGAACTAACTGGAGCTGTGGCTCAACTGGTAGAATACCTGCCGTAAGTGAAAAAACATAGGCAATTCAGGTCCTGGTACAGGTATGCATGTGTGCGCACACACGTGTGCACACACACACAAAAATGTAAGAGGTTCCTTAAACAAAAAAAGTCTAATCTAAACCAAACCCTTTCAGAATAAACCAAATAGCAATTCACAAAGGACACTCAGGCCTCTGAATAAGAAAAACATTGTTGGGCTGGGAATGTGGCCTAGTAGTAGAGTGCTTGCGGAGCATGCACAATGTCCTGGGTTCGATTCCTCAGTATCACATAAACAGAAAAAGACAGAAAGGGCACAGTGGCTCAAGAGGTAGAGTGCCAGTCTTGAGCAAAAGACACCCTAGAACAGAACCCTAGCCCTGAATTCAAGCACCAGGACGAGCAAAAAAAAAAAAAAAAAAGGTGTAATTCTTGACTACCAAAAGTTATAACATTTATCAAAAAGTACTTGGGCATTTTCCAAAATTTTTAGAAAGTTCAAAGTGTGAACAACAAATAAAATGCTACCATTATTTCTTGTGAATGGAGGTAGCAGGGCTGAAACTGCTTTAAAAACAAACAAAAAAAAACCTCTGACAGCTCCAAAGGACAACAGCTCCATCTTAAACCAGAAAAGGGATCCAACCATAAAGTAGCCTTGCAGAAGGAACCAAGAACAACCCCTTATGACATAATTTCATTTGATCTAAACAAAGAAAGTACAACAGCTCAACTGAAACATCACTGCCAACCTCAGAAAGGGCTAAGTTGCACAGCAGCCATTCCCAGATTCAGATTCCACAGGTTTTTACAACTATTACATTTTCCAGGAACTTGGTCCTTTAATTTCAGTACCGTTTCTCTTCCTTGTCCTAGCCGCTGGTAAAGTAAGCAAGACTTCCCTCTAGGAGTTGAGAAAGGGGCAGGGCAGGCTTTCTTGTCTTGAGAAGTGAGACAGCTCATGGCTTTTTCCCAAGCAGCACCATCTGTGACAGAGGCCTACCTCTCCTAGACACTTAGCTTCCACAGAGCAGAAGGCTCAAAGGCTGTCCAAGGTCAGGCTCCTTTCATGCAGCCACTCCTGAGAAGCAACTGAGTGGAGCAATGAGGCCTCCGATACTAAGGAGGTGGCCACAACTCAGAGGGAGTACAAATTCGCCTGCATCTCCAAAAATGGGAGCCAGGGTAAGCTGTCCGCTGTGCCCAAACCCTTCATCAGCCTCCCAAGTTTGCATGGCCGGGATTCAAAGGCTGGCTAGCCCCCTCCACCTAGGGGGAGAGAGGCAGGAGCTGGAGTACCACAGCACTGGCTGGATGGCTTAGGCACCCACCCCACAGCAATTTGAGCCCAAGTGCCTAAGGCTAAGAAAGCAGGCAAAACCCAAGTGCCTGGCTCACCGCGCCAGGGCGGAGGCTGAGAAGTGCAGGACTGGGGAAAGCAAGGACAGAGTAAGGCGGGGTCAGAGGGATGGTCTGAGCCAGAGGAAAAGGAGGGAAAACTCAGGGCTGGCCCTAGGCCCAGTGAGGGCGAGGCAGACCAGTATGGCAGGAACTGGCAAGACCCACGCCTCCACCCAGCCCTTGCTGCCCCTGCCGGGAGACACAGTGCCTCTCACACATCCACCAGTTCCTTTAGGTAGAACCATGATTTCATAGCTCTCAATCAAAAACCTATACAGGTTGTGGGGAATGTATGGCCAGAGAAGCGTCTTCTCCATGTGGAATACATTTTCCAAGCTAATCCTGTGAACTCTTGCTTTCAGGATGAAAGCATTCTCCCTAATTCAGCCAGTAAGTGCAGTATTCAAACAGGCGTCAACTACCAATTTCCTCAATGCTCACTCACTCCACATCTTCCCCACTTGGTGGTAAATTGTCCACACCCCTTTCCTCTGCAGTGAGAGTAGTAAACACATGGAAGACACTTATACTTCAGCTTCCAAATTGG